GGTGTGGGTGTATATATATATATTTAGCTTAATATTTTGAAAATAAAATATTAGTTTTGCTTTGTTGTTTTTGAATTTATAAATTATTCTCTTTTTTCAAGTTTTTTGTTTGAAATCATTGTCTTTTTTCGTTTGTTTTGCTTTTTTCGATTTTTTTCTTCTTTAATACATAACAATTCGAGTTTTTCTTGTTTTTTATAAGGTAATAGTGTTTTTTAAATGATTTTTTATGCTTAATTTGTTTTAGTTTTTTTTTGTTCTGCTTTAAACTAAACTGCTTAAGCATGAAGAGGACTTAACAACTAAATGAAACTTAATTTAATAATAATAATGTATAAGGGATTTGTTGCTTTAAGAGGGAGTTTTTTTATATAATTTACAACATTTTTTGTTTTTGTTTTTTTTTTAATTAAAATTAAATAAGTAAATAATAAGTATTAAAAATTATATGTAGTAAAGAAATAAAGAAAATTATAAAGAATATAATAAACATTCAACAGTGTTTTTTTTTGTTTTTTTGCAAAATACCTTAATAAAAAGCCGCTTTACACAAAATGTAAATGTTTAAATAAATGAAGCAACACAACAATCTTTACCTTTGTTGTCTTTAAATGTTGTTTCTTTTAAGGCTTTCTGGATTTGGGGTTTTTTTTGTATTTTTCTTTTAGATAAGAGTATTATTTCATTAAGGAAGATTTTGTAGATTTCAGATTTAAACATACATTCCCATGCCATACACTGAACTCCAGTCGACTCCTTGAAAACTTGACATATCCACATTTGCTAAGGCATAACTTTGATATGGATTTGTGGCGGCATTTAAGGGATTTGAAGCTACTAGGGCTGCTTGTTGCGCAGCAGCGGCAGCCAAAGGATTTGTTACTGCAGTAGCTGCATGAGCACCATTAGCTTGTGTTGAACCAGCCGCTGCTAATGCTGCAGCATTGTGTGCTTGTGTTGCTGCCGCTGCTACAGCAGAATTTTGAGCAGCTGTATGTTGTTGGGCCGCTGCTACGGCATTTTGTTGCTGTTGATGATGATGATGGGCATGAGCTGAGGCAACTTGTTGTTGCTGTTGTTGTTGGGCTTGAGCAAAAGCATTGGCAGCTGCTGCTGTGGCGGGTATGGGGTAGGGAGTATAACTGTAAGAAAATTAAAAGATTTTTAAGTAAATGTTTTCTTTTTTAATAAAAAATTTTATACAAAATTCAAATATTTGTCGCCAGCCGGATATTTTTATTAACATATGTCGCCAACACAAAAAATTCTATAAAAATTAGTCGATGACCTAAACTTTTCTATAAAAATTTGTCGCTGGTCGCAAATGTTCTATATGAATTTTGTCGCTCACAAAATTTTCTTGAAAAATGTAACTCTAGCTCCAATTTTTTTGAAAAATTTTCTTGAAAAATGTAACTCTAGCTCCAACTTTTTTTTTTAAACTGGCAAAATTGAAGAATTTGTCGCCAGCTGGACATTTTCTATTAAAATTTGTCGCCAACACAAAAATTTCTATAGAAATTAGTCAATGACCCAAAATTTTCTATGAAAATTTGTCGCTGGTCCAAAATTTTCTTTATAAATTTTGTCGCTCACTAAATTTTCTTGAAAAATGCAACTCTAGCTCCAAATATGCTAAAAAAAAAGTCGCTGCCTCAAATTTTCTTTGTCGCCAGCTCAACATTTTTTATATAAATTTAACGCTAAATGGAATTTTTCTATATAGATCTCTCGTCAAATCAAAATGTTCTATAAAAAGTTGTCGCTAGATCAAAATTATGTCGACAGCTTATAATTTCCTATGAAAATTTGTCGCTAGTTCAAAATTTTTTAACCAGCTCAACATTTGCTGGTCGCTAGTTCAAAATTTTCTATGAAAATTAGTCGCCACAGCTCATTTTTTTATACAAATTAGTAGTTGGCCCAAAATTTTCTAAAAAAAAAATGTCGCTAGCTCGAAATTTTTTAAGAAAATATGTCGCTAACTCAATATTTTTCTTTAAAATTTGTCACTAGTTCAAAATTTAAAGAAAAAGTGTAGCTAGTTTAAAATTTTCTTTAAAAAATTGTAGCTTTCTCAACATTTTCTTTAAAAAAATTGTCGCTTTCTCAACATTTTCTACAAAAATGAGTCTTTAACTCAATATATTCTATACAAATTAGTCGCTGACTCAAAATTTTTCTGTAAAAATTAGTCGCTAACTCAAAAATTTCAATAAAAACTCTTCCCCGCCTAATAACTTTTTAAAAATCTTTAAATTTTTCTTTAAAAAGGATCCAGTTTTTATACAAAAAAATAAAATTTTCACACTTACCGAACACTATGTAATGCTGCTTGAGGATATGTAGTTAATAATTTACCAAAACCACTTGGATTAGCGGCTATAGCCGAAGCTGCAGCATTTTGTACTTGGAAAGGATTTTGTGAAATCAAGGCGGCCTGTTGAGCAGCAGCAGCAGCCTGTTGTGTAGTGGCATGAAACTGTAATTGACCCTGATGATTCTGTAGCATAGCCAAAGGATTCATGGCGGTAAGACCGGCAGCAGTACGAGTACCCAACAATTGGCCAGGACCGGCACCTAATAACTGGCCAGGCGCTAAAGTGCCCAACATAATGCGTTTCTGTAGAAGTTGAGCAGCAGGAGTGACAGCCTCTTTGGGTTGGGCCTTTTTGCATTCGACCTTTTTGTTTTTAATAGTATGGAAATGAATTTCACAAACACGATCTACTACATCTTCATTTTCGAAGGTGACAAAACCGAAACCACGATGACGTTTAGTCTGTTGATCCATTAACATGACAGTTTCACCCACAGTTCCAAATTGATTGAAATAGGCTTTGACCTCATCGGCTGAAGTGTCTTGAGCAACACCACCCACAAATATTTTCTTAGTTTTGCTGGAATTGCGAGGTCTATTCTTGGGTGTGGCATGTTTGGGATCAATTTTCTTGCCATCCAAAGTATGTATGGGTACTTGCAAGACTTTTTCCACACTGCAGGGCTCTTTGAAAGTTATAAAACCAAAACCACGACTACGCTGTTTAGGGGAAATTTACGTTTTTAGGGGAAAGGAAAAAATTAAGGGAAAGAAAAGATAAGAATTATTAGTTTGATGTGTTTAAACTTTTAGAACAAATAGCTAAGACAAGTTATGTTTAGAATTTTTTATTTTATACAGACTAACTAAATTTATGTTGATATTGTTTTAACAATAATAATAATAAATAGTATATAGTATAAAAAATAATAAAGTTACCGTTTGCAAATTGAACAAATTTTGTTTAAACTAAGTTTCTCAACAAAATACTTCCTAAAGTTAATAAAATTTTAGAATAAATATTTATAGTTTTTTTTATGGTTTTATAGTAAGTAAAAACAGTACATTAAAATAAACCCAATTGGTAACTAGGACCAAAGAACAATTTCGTTTTCAAAAACAACTAAAAAAACAAATATTAAAACAATAATATATAATTTATTATAAAAATAAAAAATAGTTTTGAGTTTGGAGTAATTGTTGTTTTGTAGTAATACAAAGCTACCAAGCTTTTAGGTTTTAAAATTAGTTACCATTAACATAAAGAAAAACATATTTTGTATATACTCTTATTAAAACAGGACCTAAAAATCAGTACAATTATTTTTAATGGCAAGAAAGTAGTTTTTAACTAAATTGTGTTTTTTTCTGAATTTTTTTTTTTTTTTTTTTTTTTTGACGTTCAAACTACTTGTAAAGAGAAAATGTTTGTTATACATGTTAAATTTTTGTTTTTTTATTATTAAGTATTTAAACTACAAAAAAATATGTACTAAACAAAAGCAGTGTAAGTTTGTTTTTCAATTTTAAAATACTTAAATGCTCAACTTGATATTATTTACACACACAAACAAATTTCACAAATATTTCTCAAGGAACTCTTTTTTAGTCAACCAGGCATGGAAAATTAAAATTTTGAAATAGTACTTTTTAGGTTTGGAAGCTCTAAACTAATTTTCCGCTATATTATAGACCAGGCTAAAGACTAGACCAAAGACTAGACTGCAGACTAGGCCATAGACTAGACTATTGACTAGACTATAGACTAGACTATAGACTAGACTATAGACTAGACTATAGACTAGACTATAGACTAGACTATAGACTAGACTATAGACTAGACTATAGACTAGACTATAGACTAGACTATAGACTAGACTATAGACTAGACTATAGACTAGACTATAGACTAGACTATAGACTAGACTATAGACTAGACTATAGACTAGACTATAGACTAGACTATAGACTAGACTATAGACTAGACTATAGACTAGACTATAGACTAGACTATAGACTAGACTATAGACTAGACTATAGACTAGACTATAGACTAGACTATAGACTAGACTATAGACTAGACTATAGACTAGACTATAGACTAGACTATAGACTAGACTATAGACTAGACTATAGACTAGACTATAGACTAGACTATAGACTAGACTATAGACTAGACTAGACTAGACTATAGACTAGACTATAGACTAGACTATAGACTAGACTATAGACTAGACTATAGAGTAGACTATAGAGTAGACTATAGAGTAGACTGTAGACTAGACTATAGACTAGACTATAGACTAGACTAGACTATAGACTAGACTATAGACTAGACTATAGACTAGACTATAGACTAGACTATAGACTAGACTATAGACTAGACTATAGACTAGACTATAGACTAGACTATAGACTAGACTATAGACTAGACTATAGACTAGACTATAGACTAGACTATAGACTATAGAGTAGACTATAGAGTAGACTGTAGACTAGACTATAGACTAGACTATAGACTAGACTAGACTATAGACTAGACTATAGACTAGACTATAGACTAGACTATAGACTAGACTATAGACTAGACTATAGACTAGACTATAGACTAGACTATAGACTAGACTATAGACTAGACTATAGACTAGACTATAGACTAGACTATAGACTAGACTATAGACTAGACTATAGACTAGACTATAGAGTAGACTATAGAGTAGACTATAGAGTAGACTGTAGACTAGACTATAGACTAGACTATAGACTAGACTAGACTATAGACTAGACTATAGACTAGACTATAGACTAGACTATAGACTAGACTATAGACTAGACTATAGACTAGACTATAGACTAGACTATAGACTAGACTATAGACTAGACTATAGACTAGACTAGACTATAGACTAGACTATAGACTATAGACTAGACTAGACTATAGACTATAGACTAGACTAGACTAAAGACTAGACTATGGACTAAACTATAGACTAGACTATAGACTAGACTATAGACTAGACTATAGGCTAGACTATAGACTAGACTATAGGCTAGACTATAGACTAGACTATATACTAGACTATATACTATACTATATACTAGACTATAGACTTGACTATACTCTAGACAACTTATCAAAAGTTTATAAGTTAGAAAGGGTACCGAAAATATCGGAAGGTATTTTTCGATATCAAAAAGTACTGAATTTTCCATGCCTGTACTCAACAACAACTTGCTTGTCTGGAGGTGTCGGTGGTGTTGATGTTGTAAATGTTTTAAATGTTTGTTTTTATAAGGAATTACAATAAGGAACAAGGGCACCTGTTAGAATTTCTTTATAAAAGTGTTTAGATTCCATTACACTTTTATTGAAATTGTGTTTATTTTTTTTTTTCAGTATAGTTTTATGCAATTTTTTTCAAAATCTTTTTTTGTTTGTTAAAGAAAACACAAAAACAAAATCTAAAAATATAATTAAAAACGTAAAAAAATTGTAAATACTATTATTATTTTGTTAACTAGTTTGCTAATGAAACATAAACAAAATTAATATATATAATAATGATAATTGGTTTTTTTTTAAAGAAAACAATCCAAATACAAAAAAAAAAATGAATAAAAGAAAAGTACAATAAACTGTTATTCTTACACTAAATATAGTAAATGAAAACCAATAAATTTCAATTTACAGCTGTTAAAGACAAAAACCTAAGACTTGCTTATGCGGCTCATGGAAATGTCAACAAGACAAACTAATTTCTTATTGACACTTCAGCAAAGTTTTTGCAGCCATCATAGAAGTTAATAGGTTAATTTCTAGCAAATTTCAGCAGTTTCATGAAATTTGGCTAATAGTTATTAAGTTGTTATAAAAAAACATTATTAAAAGTTAAGTTTTTTGATATTTTATACTTTTTTCAAATATTACACAAAATTTAATAGAACTAAATTTTAAATATTGTTTTTTTCTTATTTTGTTTGACTGTAGTTTTTAAGGAACGCAACTAGTAGATTACATAATAGTTATTTTGCTTTTGTTTTATATTAAATTACAATTTTATTTTATATAAATTTTTATTAAACTTAATTACTATTATATTACAACTGAAATCTAAAATTTCTTCAATATATTTATTTAGTAGCGCATGTTTTTTTATGTAAAAATTGTATGGAACACTAAGTATTATTTAATTACAATTAGTTTTTTTTTAAATACTTTTACAATATTAAACTGAAATCCAGTTAAAACATGGGACTTATGGATAAAAAGTTAATTTTGTCGCTGATACAAAATTTTCCAATAAAATTTTTAGCTGGCTAACAATTTTCTATGAAAATATTTGTCTTTTTTAAGATTTTCTATGAAAAGTTGTCTCCAGCTTAAAATTTTATATAAAATTTGTTAATAAAAATTTTCATCATAACTTTCTCCTTAAAGTCCCATATATAATTTGTACAGATATTATTCTTAAATATTACAATTAAATAACAACTAAATTATCTATTTTCCTCGAAACTACCACATAATTATTGTTGTAATTTAAATAAATATTTTTGTAAAATACTTGATTAAAAGGCAGAGCCTAGTTAAAACATACGAAAGATAATAAATATTACAACGAAATATATTTACAAGGTTAAATTTAAAATCCAGGGATCGCTACTTAGTTAATTTTAGGAAAATTTCTTTTTACCAACGAACCAATCAATAAAAAGGTTTTTACATCATAAACATAATCTATACAGTTTATTTGATTTTATTGAAACTACATCTTAAATAAGTATTGATGTATGACATCTTATATACTATTATAAACTTACAATTAAATTATCGAATTGTTATACATCTTATTTGTTTATATTTACGGACAAATACTTTTCTAATATAAGTTTTCAATAGTTTTCAGTATAATTTTTATTATTATTTTTTTAATGTTTATAAAACTAAAAGCTTTAAAGCTTAATTAACTAAATAACGTTTTACGAAAACAATGTTTGTAAGATTTCCAAATATGTATTATTTATGAAGAATTGATATTTCATATACAATATTCTACCAAATATTAAAAAAAATCTAAATAAATTTTAATATTAATAGGAAGTAATCCTTAATCATAATAAAATTCTAGCTAAAGTACAAAATTTTATTTTGAATAAAGACTCGATAAATATTTTCTTCTAGATGGGGGGGGGGGGTCTAAAATTTTCTAATAAAATCAGTAAAGGAATGTATTATTGGAATTTTAGTCAGTGTTTTATGTTAAAAGATATAAATAAAGAGCTTATTTCACTAAAAGTGTACGAAAAAATTCGTTTACATTGAACACTATAACAATACTTCGCATTTATTTGTTTTTAATATGAAATAAGAAAGAAAATGTTCGTTCGCTTTTAGTGAAACATGATTTAAGAGTAAGGACATGCTTGGTAAGTATTTAGTCAAGAATGATAGAATATTATTTACTAGAATAATATAAGAATATATATTATTTTTTCGTCCAATATTTACCATGTATGATCATACTCTTCGAAACTAGTCTAAATATTATCAAATCTTTATTTAGTGTTAAAAGTATAAGTTCTATGATTAATTGTAGTACTTTTAACATTTTATTTAAATACGTTAATTCTATTACCTAAAAAAATATGTTGAGATGAAAATTGTTTTTTTTACAAATTTTCAGTGTCTTCCTGTATGTCTGGAAGGAACTATAGGCTAC